TTACGTATGTGATACTCTCCAAAATGGCGCTAGGGTGATGTGGAGGAGACGAATTGTTGAATAAAATCGTTATTTTTGTTTTCTTTGCGCACAAAAAGTATTCTTGTACCTTCGTAAAATTACAGTTGAACCACTGTAGCACGATTTCCTTGCTACGTTTCTGAGCCTTAATCGTGTTAGGATCCTTGCTGTCTATGGGAGGGTCAGAGAGCTCTCAGAATTCATCAAAAATATCTTAATTTGTGTTTCGAAGATGAGCGTTCTTACGGGTTTGGAACAACATGAGGGTGAGTAATTAATGACAGAATTTTTGGGTGAACTATCCCTTTAATGTGTTTGTGAGCAATACTAACAGAATGTACCACATTCTCTCTTAAATCTGTAAAATTTTGATTTACTTTCTAAACATTGCTCCAGACTCACACTGAACTCCTGCATGGTTTGACAGTGGTGCCCATCCTCTTGTTCTTCTGTGGTAATCCCCATTAATCTCTATTCTAGCGCCAGCCATTTGATGGATCCAATGTGTCTCTCTTCTCTCTGTTCTTTGTGCATACCAGAGATACCAGCTACAATAAGGAGGATTTACCTGATTCAGTTCACTTCCATTCCACATGGGAGACTAAAGAGTGAATGAAGCCTCACTGCAGACTTGCAGTGCGGAGATACTGTGAATGAGATTATTAAACTATCCTTAACATATCTCTGTACGCCACTTTCTAGTGTAGCACAACCACATGGAATACAATGGAGAACACTCTTGGCTAACATCTTAACTACTGGGTTTGGTTGAGCCTTTGTTGTGGATAACAAACTTCCAGTTTTCACTAGAAATCTAATCTTACACCTTCGATGGGACACTGTCCAGTTTTTCTTGGTTTCTGGATTTAGCCTTTCTAACAAAGGGCTAAACATCCATTAGTGTGGCTAAATGATTACCTCCAAGAGCCGGAATGACCTGGAAAAAAAAATGTCTACATACATAGCATTGGAGTTTAAAAAGTTAATTTCATGGAAGCATGGTGACAAACAACTATCTAACCACACCCTGACCAAGACCCAGCTTTCCATGGCCTTTCATGCATCACCTACAAAACTGAATTGGCAGGAGAAAGGGTGGAGAAAAGGTGATCAATTGTTCTGTCCAAACTCAAAGGAAATGGATATGAGACTTCCTGTGCATGTACATGTTGGTTAAGGTACAGCAAGAGGAAAGAAAGGCCCATGGCAATACAATAGAAAGACGGAAGGCAGAGTGGTCACAAGTCACAAACAGAGGCTAAAAGACTGGAGTCTAGTGGCCCTGATAAAGTTAGGGAGGTTAAAAAGGGACAAGGCAATCATCTTGACAATCAATCATGTTCATCAGCTCAACCCAGAGTTCACCGAGTTCAGAGAACCTTGTTCTTTGAACATTTTCTTAAATTGAGTGGGTTCCCCCTTAGTTAAAATCACATTCTGGGGTGGAAGAGGGACAGGGGTTTACAAATCAAATCTAGGGCAAAAATTACCTTTATCCAATAATCACTCAGTAGATAGAACAGAGTACCTGCCCTACTCTTCTTTTACATTTGTATCTCACAATACAGAAGAAAATATCTGTCGCTACTTACGTTGCATCACGATTTTACCTAACACAACATAAAATTATGTTGCAGGTCTTCTAAATCTGTTATTGCTAATTCAGTTAGCAGTTACATTACTTACAATTTAATTTAATTTAACTTTATTCTTGAATCTCAACAGGTTTTACTTTTTTATTTCAGATGTGCTCAAAAATGAGTTAAGGGCCTGGTAGATATGTCTTAATCTCAGAATGTTCTAGACTATACAAGAAAATTCCAATTGAAAACAACCTAAGGTCAATAAAACTGTCTAGAATGTTATTAATGCAATTCTTTAGCTACTGTAAATGTACAGATTGTGCTCCAGTCATTAGCAATTAAATCCAGTTAATTTGGAGTACAAAGAACAATGCAGCAGAGTACTACCAGTAAATTTTTTTCTCACATTGCATGCAACATTCATTGCCGTGTATGAACGTGAGGCTGTCTGGCTCTTTCTCTCAGCCAGGATTCTGTCAGGGTCGAGTCAGATCGCTCTTTAGCACCAGGTTGTAGAAGGGTCCACTCTCTCTCAGGTGATAACCCTGATGCAGAGGGTGTCTCTATCACTTGCTAGCATTATGCAGCTTCACGGCGTCCAGTATAAACAGATAGAGGTGATTTCAGCATCATGATTAGTTTCACACTCCCACATAGCAGATGTGCAAAAATAACACTCAAACAACTAAAATATAATAAAAAAATAATAATAATTCTACCATAAATTTGTGTCCATTGTCCATTAACAACTGAAAAAAATAGTTTCTTTTACATAAAAAAAAAAAAGTATATTGCTGAAAATGATCACAAAATTTGTGTGAACTTGAGGGAAACTATTCATTCATCTATTAAAAAAGCTCAGTTCTTAGAAAGACTCTAGCATCCTTTGTTCACGGAAGGCTTTATTATTTTTGTTTCTAATGCAAAGACATTCTTTTTTAAATATGGCTATAGTGTCTAAATACTTTTTGTGGTCACTGTGAATAAGTATTATATAACTGACTGGCGGTTTGTTCAAGTTTATCTGCTCACTTCAACAGCAACCAAGTTCTATCCCAGCAAAAAATAAATAATAAATAAATCTAAAATTTTTTAACCTTTGCCCCTATAATCTTAAAGCTGAGTCTGAATGTCAGATCTGAAAGGGTCTAAGGTATCAGCACAACCATTGTGATGAATAAGAATTTCAATAAAGGTATTTGCTGAGTGTGGAAAGCTGCCATCTTTTCTCCATTGTTTCCAAATGGTGAATGCGAAAATAAACTTTGACACCAGAACACAAGAGCAGACGGAGACAGACACCAAGAGGTTGTTCTGCTTTTTTTGTCCATTTCAGAAAAAGCCAGCGATATCGCTTTGAACACTGCCAATGTTTTGTTTGGCGTTTGCAGAAGCCTTTTACGTAATAATCCGCTCGGCTGTTAGGACAACAATAAAGGTAAATATGAGGGACAGAAGCATGAAAGCAAAAAATAAAGGAAACGTTTGTCTTTTCATGCACGATCATCAGGTGGATTAACACTGTCTAGGTGTCTAAAATGTGAGGGGTCAGGGCAGGTCACTATGCTTACAACGGTCCTTGCAATGACTTCTGGGTATAAATAAATGATGGTTGAAATTCAACTGATATGACTATCACTTTTAAGTGGCATTGAATACATAAGGTGTGAGCAGAGCTGAGAAGAACTTCTTTTGACCTTTAGCTGTTTGAGCAATATATATAGCGATCATTTACACCCCTCACTGACCTTGTTTCAGGCTTATATGTGGTGTCGTGTGGTTTGGGCACACTGTGGCAGAGCTAAATGAGGAGAAAGGCATTTTATCGCTGTCCGTATGACCAGGGCCGATGAGAGAGTGCTGTTAGTCACAGCGGTGTTGATGACAACTTCAAGTGCCACAGTCACACGTTTCCTTTAGTGGTTCCAGCAGCTCTGGAGACCCGTTAAAGGAACAGAAGCAACATTGATTTGTATTATTAGTTATGTTTGTTATACTGATAATTCCAGGTTTTTTAATTGATCGGAGATCTTGAGACTGGTGTCAGAAACAGTAACAAAGAAAGCAAACTCCAGACTGATATAACTGAACAGTGGCCCAAAGCTAGTCCAGTCACATGGTGGGTCTCTTCAATGTCCCATTACCAATACGCATCATGTGCCTGCATCACTCATATAAAAGTGAAGGATTATAAAAGAGATATTTGTTGTCGAGTTGGTAGTGTGGCATCTTACTTTTTAAAAGGTTGTGTGAGAAACATTGTAATTGGATGAGTAAATCTTTGTTCTTTTAGAGACCCGAAGGCACATTTAATAGCTTGGCAGACATTGAAGTATCATGTTGATATTGTAACAAATTTCTTAATCTTGATTATACTTATGATACACTGATTATAAACAAAATTTCAGCTTGATAATATGAGTCAAATTATACCCCATGCAAAATGTTGGTTTATTTCCAATAGTGTTCAAAAGCTTGGGGTCAGTTTTGTTCTGCAGGGATGCATTAAACTGATCAAAATTGACAGTAAAATACATTTATGTTACATTTATGAGTATTTATTTTTAAAATAAGTTCTGTTCTTTTAAATTTTCTATTCATTTAAGAACACTGAGACAAATCTATCACGGTTTTCACTAAAATATTAAGCAGCTCAACTGTTTTCAACATTGATAATAATAATAAGAAGAAATGTATTAGATTGCTTATGATTAGAAGCATATTAGGATGATTTCTGAAGGATCGGTGACACTGAAGACTGGAGTGATGATGCTGAAAATTCAGCTTTGCATCACAGGAATAAATTACATTTGAAAATATATTCAAATATAGCTGTTTTAAATTGTAATACTATTTCACAATATTACTGTTTTCACTGTATTTTTTAATAAATAAATTCAGCCTTGCTGGGAATAAGAGACTTAAAAAAAACAAAAAAAAAAACATAAAAAATCTTACCAATCCCATGTTGCTATAAGATACTACTGTGTAATGGATGAATATCATCCTTCTATAGGAGTGCATGATGCTAGTTTATGATAAAACAGGCTTAAAGCATTAATAATACCTTGGGTTTTGATTGAGTTAGAGGCACATATTTAAAAAAAAAACGGTTAAAGTTAACTTTTCAGTTGAGTCATATGAACCTTCTAGAGCTCAAAATAATAATCAGGAGACCACAAGCCTGAGTCGAATCCCCATTGTTTCTCAATACAATCTCACTTTCCTTCCTGATGAGGAGATATTCCTCCAACTAAAATAGAGTGGCAGTCCGGCATTGTGACAGGAGAGGAGAAGGAGGAGTAGAAGGAGGTGGCGAAGGAAAGGGAGGGAAAGGAGGTGGTACTGCTCTGGTGGTATTTCTTAACATGTCCTTTGAGTATGAGGGCACTTCCAGATCGTCCATGATGGTGGTCGGCCTGCTAGCAGCTGTTTCTGATTATCAGCAAGTCTGTAATCTGTCATCCACTGACACTGAGAGGACAAGGACTCATCTAAAGAAAACTGAATTGATTGGTTTATTTTACACTAGACGTATCTGAAGATTCATTCTGGGGTGAAACACCAGAGGTGAGCATCTATAAAGACATTCATCTTTCCGTTCTCAAACCCAGAGACTGCGGACGGCTAGAAACTACCACAGTGAGTCATCCATCAATTCCAGCTTTATGTTTAAAGGAGATGGCTTACGTTTTGTCAACCGGCGTAATAAAGAGTCAATTTTCACCATCAGTCTGTGGAATATACTGATGACAAGTGAACAAGAAGCAATCTGTCTGCAGACAGCCTTGTGTCCACAACTCGACCCTGTCAGTAAGATACAACAGGAAGAAAAAGAGCTGCAGTTCAATCACTTAATTCCCACTGAGGTGTCAACATACCTTCTTCAGCTCTTCAGCATCCCTGCCAAGAAGACAGCATCAACAGTCTGATTCCATTCTAGATCGTTCATCTGAAACGCTCACAAAAATCACAGAACATATGAACAGAACCATATATCAACGTGAAGCTTCGGCTGACGTTTGAAGGCCTCTGAGGCCCGCCAAGTAGTTCTGGCAACTAATCACACATCCTAAAAGCAGAAGAGACAGGAAGTGTTCTCAGGTAAAGAGGCAGAGCGATCAAGAATCTATCAAGATTCATCACTAAACTGCCAACTGTTTACACATCAGTTGATAGAGAGACAAACACACACCTGTCGGATCTTTAACAGACACCTGTTGGTCCACAACTATTAAAGGTATGTAAACGATTATATACAAACATTTTGTTTAAAAATATGATTAAATAAATGGAAATGCCTTCAATATGCCTGAAATTGAATATATGTCATCCTGGACCACAAAACCAGTCATAAGTAGCACAGGTGTATTTATAGCAATAGTCAACAATACAATGTATGGGACAAAATTATTTAATTAGGACATTATGTAAAGATCATGTTCCATGAAGATATTTTGTAAATTTCCTACCGTAAATATATGAAAACTTAATTTTTGATTAGTAATATGCATTGCTAAGAACTTCATTTAGACAACTTTAAAGGCGATTGCACCCTCAGATCCTAGATTTTCAAATAGTTGTATCTCGGCCAAATATTGACCTATCCTAACAAACCATACATCAATGGAAAGCTTATTTATAGCTTATTTATTCAGCTTTAAGATGATGTATAAATCTCAGTTTCAAAAAATTGACACTTATGACTGGCTTTGTGGTCCAGGTTCACAAATATATCTCAAAGTATACTTGTCCTCTGTAGTATAACTGGTAATATATAAGAAACTTTGAACATGGAGAAACTTTTTATTATAATAAAAGTATATTACATATATTAGTAATAAATATATTCATTTTATATATATATAACCATAATTTGTTGCCACAGAAACTAATAAAACAAATAAATAAATATTTCTTTAAATGTCACATGATAGAATAATAACTCAAATATCAATGTTCCTAATATGTATGACTTCCTGACATTAATTAGAGTCTAAGGAGCTGAGGAATATTTTTGGCACACAGTAAAATTCTGAATATGAAATTCAATAGGTGTTTCACTGATCTAATTTAATCTAACCTTGCCGACTTTGGCTGCGAATCAATATTAGGTCTCTCTATTCAATTAACATGCTGGGAACTAATAGGAAAAGCCTGATGAATAAACTGTTATGATGGTTCCCAGGAGAGCGTCTTTGAATACATCGACACACAATGAGAGCCTTGAACAGACTTGTGAAGGAGTATCCTATGACAAAACTCAATCTCTAAAGCTTAGCCTTGTTGCTCCTTTTGCTGTTTTTAGTTTTCAGATGTCATCAAGTTATTTCAGTCACGCTGTCAGCTGCATTAAATTGCTGATCATACTCTTATGCGTACACACCCATTCTTCTGGAAAAGCACCCGCAGCTCGTCTTCTGATGCTTGACTGTAAACCAGACATGTCCATCTGTTCAGGGGTATACGAGCAGACAGCCAATTTTATTCATGCATTTTTTGGAGAACCCATTCAGTGTAAGACTCATCCATCAGTGCTGATTTATCTTAAAAAGTCAATTTGACTGTATTTTAGTAATATATATTCTCTGTTTGCATTGCTACTGACTCTGAATTCCATATCTATGTAGCTAGTAGGCTTTCTTTATTGTGCCGTCTGCCACAGTGCTGACTCAAACAGACAGGACAACAGGCCGGAAGAGCATGGTTCTCTTCTTGATGGCTGTTTGTGCGGCTCTTATCTATCTCCAGATGCCCCTGCCACAAAAAAAAAAGAAAAACTCCCACATTGTTCTCCTTTCCTCGGGTAAACAAGTGGAGAAGGGAGTAGGTCTCACCACCTTCCTCCTGAAAGTTTCACTGACTCAGAAATAGCGCTGAGAAATGTTCACATACAGTTAGACTGCTGATGTATTGTTTGCTGACCCATGACACACTTTTTGTTGCAACTAAAAACCCTGCAACAAAAAACAGGTAAATGTTTATTTAAGCTTAAGATAGAATGACATGAACAAATCATCAGTTATTTTACTGAATTACATTAGAATTAAGGCTCAACCAACTCATTAAAATAACTTGGCCAAGTACATTCAGATCACATTATAGCACCTTTCCCATGCTAAAAAACAAGACACTGAGCAGTCACATTAAATGTATGAGCAATATCACACTCGTAGCAGTGTGATATGGCTATATATAGACACGGTTGTGATTCGGCCATAGAAAATCAAAGCGTGCCGATATACAGCCATATCTCACGGCTACGAGTGTGATATTGCATTTATACAACAGTTCGACGATACGTGTTTGTAAATACATACGAAACAACAACGGAGTGTCTTTAAAACTCCTCTTTTGTGCAGAACTACTTCCTTCTGCCACCGATTGAAATCTCAGTTTGACAGTTTAACAGCTGAGCCCAAGCCTCCGTTATTAAATCGAAAACATCACTTTAGAACTAGTAACAAAAGAACGTTGAGTTGCTTCATTGAAAGCTTATTGTATAACTGTATTAAAAGCTCACTGTATTATGTAGAGAGTATTATGAGAGAGAGATGGCCTGAGCAAGTCTGATTAACTTACCTGCATCTGATACAGCATTCATTCTTCAGCTCAATCTCATATTCACAATAAAACATTAATTTGAATGGCCGAGGTAAGCCTGCTCTCGGCAGGTTCATGAGTGCTGAACAGCCGCTTGAACGTTGAAGCAATTTTGCTTTCAATGAAGAAAATTTTCAAACAGACATTTTATTAACAAACCGCATATTTTAAGTCTAAACAAGTACATTCATTCTGTGACACAAAAAAGTATTATTTATAAAAATGAAAGTGGATTTGGGCATCCGCCATGACATTCACTGTGAGAAATACGGCAAGCAGAGTGATACAAATGGTGGGAGTTCTGTTATCATTAGAATATCACACTCCTCTCAGCCAATCACATTCGAGGGCCAGAAAGAATAATATAATATAATATAATATAATATAATATAATATAATATAATATAATATAATATAATATAATATAATATAATATAATGAGCAATATGAAAAGCTGTGCAATATTGCTCATTTATCAGCAAGACTGAGAATCGGCTTTAGGCACAAGGCTGCAGGCTCTGGTCATGAGTGTTGAATGGCCACTGACCCTTTGGATGCTAGTCTATACACCTATGCACAACTACATTCTCACCTACAAACTCTTAAACCTACATTCTGTGCCACGACAACGGTAGTATAGAGAGACGGAATTCACAGCACAGTCTTTTAAGTGTGCCAATAACCTCTTTGGCCTCAGTGTCTTGAACCCAGCCAGTTTCCTTTCAAGTGCCTTGTAAGAGGGAAATTATATTGTTTAGGATTGTTTCCTTAAAGGGGAGGGGAGCGAGACAAACTTATATAGAGACTCCGCCACATTCAGTCTGTCTTTAAAGATGTGGTTCCCACATCTGATGCCAAACTACCCTTCCCAGTAATTGTTGGCATCATATGTATATATAGAGAGACTGAATTTGCAGAATAACAATAGCAAGTTGCAAATAATATTATAGGAATAAAACTCTATGTAAAAAATAATGAATAGTCATTTGGTCATTGCTGTATCAAATCAGTCATGAAGCAATGAGTCTATTCTTCTGTATGTGACCTTTAGAGGAGGAAGTTGATAAAGGCTAAAAACCTCCCTCCTTGCTGAAACGTATTCTTACAATAATGCTGGTGGGGCATCAAGGTCCAGACTGATAAACTTCTGGCAGATTGGATCTGAATAAGGTCTGTTTACACAGTGCATTTTTTGCAGTTAAATTTACATCCAAATATTTTTTCAATACTTCGCACAGACAAACTGTTCTTTAAACACACAGTCTTGCCCAAGTTCTCACGTTAAAGCGATGAGAGTATTCTGGGCTCCCTCTTCCCATACACCCCCTTGAGGACTGAGACTGTGATGCTAAACTTTGCATTAATCCAGAGGGAGAGAGAGCGAGACCAATAAAGAACATCATTACGCTGTGTAATTTGTACATATGTACCAACAAAATTAAATAGTCAAAAATCATACACATGATGTTCATCCAGCATCACCCTGTCCTAAAGGACAATTGAGCATTTCCCATGACATTTAAATTTGACAAGCTTTAGGACTTCTGAAACATACAGACTTAGGACATCATGAAAGTGAATGTAATGTAATGAATGCAAGACTAGTGGAGTCTTAAAGGAATAATTCACCCCAAAATGAAAATGTTGTCATAATTGACTCACCCTCATGTCGTTCAAAACCTGTATAGGTTGAACACAAACGAAGATATTTTGAAGAATTTTGAAGAACCAAACATTTGTTGGATACCCATTGACTTCCATAGCATGGAAAGAAATGTTATGGAAGTCAATGGGGACAATGAACTCTTTGATTACCAGCATTCTTCAAAATATCTTCTTTTGTGTTCAACATAAGAAAGAAATTCATACAGGTTTGGAACGACATGAGGGTGAGTATATGATGACAAAATTTTCATTTTTGGGTGAACTATCCCTTTAATTGTGCTATTTTTATTGTGTGCTGAAGTCTTTAAAAAACTTAAATATAATGCAGCACCATGTTGCACTGCATTGTTTTAAACACATGTAATGGATTTTAATATGCCAAAATACTTTAACTTCATTGATGGGCGATGTTACTTTGTTAAAATATTCACAGTTGCTTTCAAACGATAACAGGAAACGCTCAGCCATCAAATACCCAGAAAAGACAAATGCCACTAAATATCTATTACTTTGCTTATTTTTAGCTGTAGGTTCCTCAAATTCTTCCGTCTCCTTTTCCCAGACTCCCAGTACTTGAGTGTGTGGGAAAAGTTTGTATTGAATAACAGAAATCTACACACACAAACACAGCCCAAATATACAGTCACTGCATGTTTGACATCTCTGTCCTTGTTTTATAAGAGCATGAGAAGGCACTAGGCCAGAGGTTCTCAAACATGTTCTGGAGTACCCCCAGCCCTACACATTTTGTATGTCTCCCTCATCTATCACACCTGATTCAACTCATCAGCTCATTAGTGGAGACTGCAAGACCTGAAGTGGGTGTGTCAGATAGAGGGAGACATACAAAATGTTCAGTGCTGGGGTACTTCATGGCGAGGTTTGAAAACTAGGCAGTGCAGTATATGACTATACTTATAGGGCAGAGTTCAAAATAGCATACAACTAGCATTATTTTCCCCATATCTTAAT